AGAATTCCCAAGTATTTTAGTGAGGAGGGCTGGCTGGGAATTATGAGAGTTTTAACCACAAAGGTTGGTTTGTTCCCATTATACATTTGTCTACATACACTCTGTAGAAGTCACCTTCCAATACAAATGACCATGTCCTTAAGCTTATCAATGTTTATTTTAGTAGCTCACTTGCAAGCACGCTTGCTTAAGAATATTCCTGTCTTCTGCTGCTGAGTGATGTGGGGACTAAGCTGAATCAGTATAACCTGGATTGTCTCCAGGCATTTTCTGGTTCTAAGGCAGGGGTGTCAAACTCAAGGCCCAGGGCTTGGATTCGCCCTGCGGGGTGCTTAGATCTGGCCCGCAGTGCCCCTCTCAGTGAAAACGAAGCTCCGGCGGTACTCCCGAGCTCCGTTTTCACTGTCACAGGGTTGCAGGAGGAAATTGCAGCCTAAAACAGAGCTCAGAAGAGCCACGGGTGGCACTCCCAAACTCTGTTGTCACTGGCAGAGGGTTGCAGGAGGCCATCACAGCTGAAATGAACCTCAGGAGCCTGTTTTCACTGGCAGAGCACTTGGGTGACCACAGGCGCCTCCGACACGAGTGATGTCGAGCTGGTCCCACCCACCCTGGCCCTGCCCACCCCAGGCCCCCAAGGTCAAACACAACCCTGATGCAGCCCTCAATGAAATCGAGTTTGACACCCCTGTTCTAAAGCCACTGGCTATATCTGTGTCCTAAGGCTGCAGCACCAAAGGTTCACAACTACCTTCTTCTTCAGCATCTGGCAATTTCCTTGGTCTAAGGGGTCACAGGACCCATAGCTAATTTAGTATCATCTTCTGCTTTCCAGAACGGAAATGTATGTGCTTTGTGATTTGTGATTTGTCTCTAGTTGCATTGACCAGATTATTACATGTGGATTATTTTGTTGTTGTTTACTTCATTTTTTGGGCACCCCCAATATGCATGTTCTCTGGTCTAATGCCAAAATCTTAACCATCCTTTTCTTGAATTTTTGCTTGAACTGTAAATTAGGGTTGGTTTATTGCATGCACACATGCTGATGGAATATGTATTACGAGATAATTCAGGATTATTTTATTAACATGGAACAGTTAACTTGGAGCTATTTAATGCACTTCCAAACACAACTCTGTTTGATTTAATATTAATATTATTTGAAATCTATTTAGTGAAGTAAAATATTAACAGCTGTTAAAATACTTCAGTGAAATATTTTAACAGCTGTTAATATTAGGAAACAGCAAAGGGTAATCTTTTAAGTGGAAAAAATTCTAGCAAGATTATACAGTGATTGGGATTCAAACTGTTGCCCTTACCTAGTGGGAACAGAGAGTCTTCTTCCCTTCAGGTTTTGAGGCTTTAGTCATCTGATACTCAATGCTAAGTAACTTTAGCTCATCTCCAAAAGCTGTGAGAACATGAAGAGCTGTAGGCTAGATTGTGAAATTAAAAAAAAAAATCTCAGAGAAAGTAATAATAAACCATTCCCATATTTTAATGAAGAAAACTATACAGTATGGATATTTCCATGAGGTTGCCCAGAGTAGAGTTAATCTGGAGGAACTTTTTGTGTCTTTAAATGTTGAGAGCAGCTTTTGTTTCTTCACACATGCAACAGAAGTAGTTGTATGAGCCTTTGGTTCATAAGATGGTTTTTCTGATATTAAGAAAAATATAATGCTAGTCAACATTTTTATTAACGCCCATTATTTCAGACGGTTCGCAAAGATCTTCCACCTCTCAGGTCCCATTTTTCAGTGGGTAGAACGGGTTAGGATTAGGTTTATGTCTTCCTTTCTCTGTTTTGGATATTAAAACATGCTTTTCTCCAAGTTTTGTTTATTAAAATTTTGCTAATCTTGTTTCATTTTTTTTTATAGCCAATCCACTACTAGAAGCATTTGGAAATGCAAAGACTGTTCGTAACAATAATAGTAGTCGTTTTGGAAAATTTGTAGAAATTCACTTCAATGAAAAGGTATTTATATTTCTTTATCTATGGTGGAATTTCTTATCTTCTTCTTTTGATAGGTCCTACTGCTCATATAGCATTTTCTTTGGGCCCTTCTGTGTGGATCACTTGTTCAAGACACTTTTATGTAAACAGAATAAATAGAATACATAGAATAATAAAGTTGGAAGAGACCTTGGAGGTCTTCTAGTCCAACTCTCTGCTCAGGCAGGAAACCCTACACCATTTCAGACATATTTGCCCTATTTCTTCTTAAAAACGTCCAGTGTTGGAGCATCCACAACTTCTGGAAGCAAGTTGTTTCACTGATCAATTATTCTAACTTTCAGGAAAATTTTCCCTAACTTTCTCCCTAGTTCTAAGTTGCTTATCTCCTTGATGAGTTTCTATTCATTGCTTCTTGTCTTGTCCTCAAGTGCTTTGGACAATAGCTTGACTCCCTCTTCTTTGTGGCAGTCCTTCAAATATTGGAGCACTGCTATCATATCACCCCTAGTCCTTCTTTTCATTAAACTAGGCATGTCACATATGGTAGTCCATTTTGGATTACAATATATTGCTTGTAATTTAAAAATTCTTTTAAATTTAGTTTAAGAATTCAGAGATCCCTAATCTAAAGACAAAATTAGTTTTATAATATCAATTGCATATCATCATCATCATCATCATCTCCAATCTCATATCTTCTAGCTATAACTCGACTCATTAAAATTTTGATTGCCAATAGGAAAAATAGAGAAAAGTCAGGAAAATAAATCTGAATTATAAACCATAATTAGCATTAAGCATCTTTGTTCAATGTGATGTCCTCTAGATATGTTGGTCTGTGCCTCTGCCAGCTT